ATCTCCCCAAAACCCCAAAACCCCAAAACCCCTAATTAGTAGCCTATAATTGCATTACATTATATTCTTGTATTAAGCATGGGATTTGATACAATGGGCGGTTGGTTTCAGACATGATGATTGAAGTTGAAGAGGGGACTGTGTAAGGCAGTGGTCGTTTTAGGGATTAGTATGGTTTTAACAAGTTCTTTTGGGGTACCTATTGCAGATACCTTGCTTAAAACATCACAAGTCAGATTAGAAGCAAGCATCGATAAATCCTTCGGAGAAATATTAAGAAGTTCGAAAGATTGCACCAAAGACTTTTGTCCAAGTGGTGCATACTTTATACAAGGAGGGGATGGAGAAGAGCTTTATGCTTTTGGATCTTTACTCGGAGGACCTAAAAGTACAATGGATCATGGAATGACTGATGAATATTCTACAACAAGATATGCCGTCCTTGTAGGAGAGGGGACTTACAGAATGCCTGAAACTTTCAGACTTGGATATTATACTCAGGTTGCAGGTGTTTCTGAAGATAGAGAAAAGGTAGAAATATCTCCAGGGATCGAAGTCATCAATAATTGATATAAAGTTGGAGATCCAGATTGTATCTCACCTGGAGGCCTTGATAACTTCTGGAGAAGTATTTCTAACCTTAAGCTTGATCTCAGTGAACTCGGACGTCCATTATTCTTTGGAGTTTCTCAAGCCTCACCTCTTAGAGATCTAACCATCAGAGGTAATAGTATCTTGATGTGTGATATTAATATGTTTGGCCTGTGCGGAAACACCAGTGGTGGCTTCATCAGTGGAATGGATATAGATGGTAATATTGAACTAGGGTCTCAGCAACAGTTCTATATAACAGGATCAAACTTCAATAAAATTAGGTCTGGAAGATGGAATGTAGTATCTAATAATAACAAAGGAGGCTATGACGGGAGAGGAGAGCGTTATGTAAAAGATCTCTGGGAAGGTTATCCTTTAACTCAGACCAAAAGTGAAGCTAATTTAAAGGCTCCCAAACTTGTACTCGAAGAAAATGTATGGAAAGTTGTAACTGACAAAGAAAGAATGCTAGTCGATGACTTCATTGTGTTGTCTCTTGGTTCAAACGAATCTCCAACTGTTGTAAGTGAGGAATTGATCCAACAAATCAATGAACAGCTTATGGATGGAGCTAAAGGAGTTATTGTTGAGCCAGGAATTTATCACCTTGAAGGAACCCTTAAAGTTCCAGATAATAAGGTATTTGTAGGTATTGGGTTACCAGCCTTTGTTTGTCAGAGCACATCGGGCAGATGTATGGAGACTGGAAGCGAAGGAGTACATATTCAAGGTATTGTTTTCGATGCAGGAGTAAATGGAAAATCTAGTGATGAATCAAATATCCTCCTTACTATTGGATCATCTGGAAATGGAGCTCTCAACAATCCATCAATTTTGCAAGATGTCTATTGTAGATCGAGTCGTACTGACCCTAATCAATCCTCTCCCCAAGCTTTTGCTTGTATTGAGATTAATGCAGATCATACTATTGGAGAAAATTTATGGTTATGGAGAGCTGATCATGACAACCAATCAAAAATGATTCCATTCGATGTCAACACCTGTGAACACGGACTTATCGTAAGAGGTGATAGCATCAAAATGTTTGGACTTTTCGTTGAACACTTCAACAATTACCAGACTGTCTGGTATGGAAAGAATGGAGAGATTAGGTTTTATCAATCAGAGATGCCATACTTCTTGACAGCTAACGGGGTGCAGCAAGTTGTAGATTGCACTCATCCTGACACTTCAGAAATAATCAAGCTTGAGGTCTGTGCATCTCTCTATATAGACAAATCTGCCACAGGATTTAAAGGAGAAGGCATTGGTATTTATAACTATTTCCCTAATTTTCTTAATCAGAAGACAGTAAGGGCCAAATCAGCAATGGTAATCAACAATGAGGATGTATTTCTTAAGCATGCTTTAATAATTTGGCTAAATGGAGATCCAGATAGTGGCATTGATAGTGTTTTAATAGACAAAGACGGTAAATCTTATCCTGAAGATAGCTATATCTATCAAGAGATGAAAGGATACGCAATTCCTTCCTACCCTCCTGATCATACTTTAAATTCATCAGATTAGGTGAAAACATATTGGATCAATTAATATTCTTAAAAAGGGGTTTTGGGGTTTTGGGGTTTTGGGGTTTTGGGG